CGAAAACATGCACACTATTTTCAGCGGTTTCAAACCCCTGGCTTCCAGACGGTCCGCTCTATTCTTCCCACGTTGACCGGCCTTCGCCCCGTACCTTGTTTTCTCCTGTTTGCACCAGCGAGTGGAGCGCCACCCATCCTTTTCGGGACCCTGACTGGGACTCAACTGTGACTCTATCTCAGAACACGGACACGTTAAACTAACATTATTCCATCATTGTTTGCCAAATCTGCTCGCCCCGCTACCTTATATTACGCAGCAATTCTCTGAGCCAATGCCTACTGCCAAATCTTCCAAAATCATCATTCATAGCGTCGACGCGCGCAAGCCAGCTGCCGGTGTATGGAATGTTTGATAGCCCACAGCTGATGAGCTGATGAATACTATCTCCGTGATACAAGAGTATGAGACTAGCGTCAACGGGCGATTTGGGTGCCCGCTGGGAGAAGCCTTGCCAACCTTGTTGATACTGTACATGAAGAAGGTCATCGCTGTATCACAAAATGCAGACGCGAGCGAGCGCCCGCCTAACCACGGATGCCAGGGATAACAGTAATAAAATAGGAATAAGTATCACAATCATCACTACTTCGGCGAATATAACCGCAGGGCAATGATGACGACAGTTCGTCAGGAGGCGGACAACTTCGTGATCATTGCGAGATCTGGCGATATCCACCGGGGCCAGTCCATTATGATCTCTTATATCTGGTTGTGTTCGCGGGTCGTCCTGAAGGGACATGACGAGAAGCAAGTCGCCCACAGCAGCGGCCCACCAAAGAGGTGTCCGTCCACCTTCATCGGGCACGTTCGGGTCCGCACTTGACTTGGCCAGTAGCTGGTAGACAAGTGCTAGATTTCTCGCTTTAACTGCATGATGCAGGGAAGTTGACCGATCCGTGGACTCGCCGGTGGCGGTGGAATTCACTTCCAAGTCTTCGCCAATCAATAGACGGCTTGCTACTTGGTCGTGACCCTGGCGAGTTGCATTCCATAACGCTGTACGGCCTTTCCTGTTCTTCGCATTACAATCGATTGCGCTTGCCATCAGTAGTCGGTTTACCACTCCTATATGTCCAGCCTTGGCTACGAGGTGGAGAGCAGTTGACTCGTGATAGTTCCGGGCACCCACATCGATACTGCCGTCAGCGAGGAAGAGGTCCACAAGTTGCACGTCTCCATCCTCTGCCGCGTAGTGGAGGGCGCTGTATCCACGAGCATCTCGGCGCACGGGGTCAACCCTCGGGTCTCCCAGCAGTAGTTTGACAATCCCCAGATGTCCCCGATCGGTGGCACAAAGCAGTGGTGTCCGCATGCTCTCTGCGGCGATGTTCAGGTCTGTTCGTTCGTCGGCAAGGATGACCTTGACAACCGCCGTGTTGTTTCGGATGANATGGACAGATCTAGATGGACAGATCTAGATGGACAGATCTAGATGGACAGATCTAGATGGACAGATCTAGATGGACAGATCTAGATGGTTCTATGGAGACTAGTTCAATGGCTTCAATGGGCGGGCAACCGCACCGATGACTTTTTAGCCCCAAGTCCGAAGGCAACATCCTACCTGCAGAGGAGGTGCATCAGTAAATGCCCGCCCATAATTATTCGTGTCTTCTATATCTCAGTGGGGGCGGTCAAACGGGTTCGAAGCGCCACCGAGCGATCCGCCTCAAGCGTGACGGGGCAGGTGTTCTACAAGCCAGACATATAACTGCCAAAAAGCTCAAACGAGCGTCTCGGCGCGTCTTGGACGTGATTTGGGTGCTCGTGCGCTATGAAGCGGCCGTCGCATTCATCCCTACAAAACATTCCTGATGTAGATCGATTTGGGCCTCGTGGTCGAACGTAAGCTGCGGTTACTTCATACACCATGATATTGGACTCTGGCGCTCATGGATCGGCCTCGTGCGCTAAGACGACTACATTCCTTGATCTGGGTACTACGCGGAATGGAAAACTAACGCAGATGGCTCGTGTATCTGCATCTCGAAAGAGCACAGCTTGTTGATGCTCATCCTAAAACTCGTTACGAAGGTCACAGTGAAAGCTAGTCTTCGGGTGAGACCGATGCTAACTTCGTTCTCGCATGGCAGGGATCCCAGGTCCGGAGAGCCCACCCACTTGCAGTCCNGGTCAACGGGCGATTTGGGTGCCCGCTGGGAGAAGCCTTGCCAACCTTGTTGATACTGTACATGAAGAAGGTCATCGCTGTATCACAAAATGCAGACGCGAGCGAGCGCCCGCCTAACCACGGATGCCAGGGATAACAGTAATAAAATAGGAATAAGTATCACAATCATCACCACTTCGGCGAATATAACCGCAGGGCAATGATGACGACAGTTCGTCAGGAGGCGGACAACTTCGTGATCATTGCGAGATCTGGCGATATCCACCGGGTCCAGTCCATTATGATCTCTTATATCTGGTTGTGTTCGCGGGTCGTCCTGAAGGGACATGACGAGAAGCAAGTCGCCCACAGCAGCGGCCCACCAAAGAGGTGTCCGTCCACCTTCATCGGGCACGTTCGGGTCCGCACTTGACTTGGCCAGTAGCTGGTAGACCAGTGCTAGATTTCTCGCTTTAACTGCATGATGCAGGGAAGTTGACCGATCCGTGGACTCGCCGGTGGCGGTGGAATTCACTTCCAAGTCTTCGTCAATCAATAGACGGCTTGCTACTTGGTCGTGACCCTGGCGAGTTGCATTCCATAACGCTGTACGGCCTTTCCTGTTCTTCGCATTACAATCGATTGCGCTTGCCATCAGTAGTCGGTTTACCACTCCTATATGTCCAGCCTTGGCTACGAGGTGGAGAGCAGTTGACTCGTGATAGTTCCGGGCACCCACATCGATACGGCCGTCAGCGAGGAAGAGGTCCACAAGTTGCACGTCTCCATCCTCTGCCGCGTAGTGGAGGGCGCTATATCCACGAGCATCTCGGCACACGGGGTCAACCCTCGGGTCTCCCAGCAGTAGTTTGACAATCCCCAGATGTCCCCGATCGGTGGCACAAAGCAGTGGTGTCCGCATGCTCTCTGCGGCGATGTTCAGGTCTGTTCGTTCGTCGGCAAGGATGACCTTGACAACCGCCGTGTTGTTTCGGATGACCGCCTCGTTGAAGATGGTCAGGATTTTCCCGTTCTTGGCCTGCAACGGACGGTTTATCTCCATCCCCGGTTGGCGAAGCAGCCGCTGGGCAATTGCTGAGTCTTTTTGGGCGGTGCTATACCACAAAGCCCTATGTCCCTGATTGAAGTAATTCAAGTCGAGCTCCCTCCGCGACAAGACCTGCTCCACCGCGGCAAGGAAGCCACTCATGACCGCATTGATAAGGGGTGTCTTGTCTCCATGCACGGCATTCACGTCGGCATGGTATTGATCAAGCAAGGTTTCCATCAGCGACACGCTTTTTTGACCTGCTGCCCAGCATAAGATGGAGCTTCCCTCATGTTGAATGTTGTGTTGCAGGACACGTTGAAACTTTTGCTGGAGGGGCGAAAGGTTGGCCGCCGCTGGTTCAGGGATAGACAATTTAAACACGATATCGGGATACTTCAGCTGGTTCGTACGGATTAGTACTGTCTCTGCTTGTGTGTACTGTACACACTCTCTCACATACCATGTTGTCGCTGTCGTTGATGTGCAGGGTTGTTGACAGTGGACGCTGGTAGGCGAGAGAAGGCGGAGGAATGATTGTTCGTAGAGGTCAACAGCTGACTACTGGAGATAATATAAGAGCTTTCTGAGACAAGCATGGGTGTCCCAACACCACATACCACGCCTTATGCATGTAAATCTGAAAGTCCCGAGAGGCTTTCTCAGGATGGTCTCCGTGCTTGGGATCGTCGGGCCTTATCCTCTGAGCCAGGGCTCTAGCTCCTCAGAAGCCCGTCCATCGCCGGAGCCCTTGGTTGGCTCCTAGGATCGCTTAGGCCGTTCTCAGGAGCCGCCTTTCTGGAAACTGCCTATACCCAGGATGACTATATATATATGGGGAACACCCTGACCACAGTCCGGAAAGCATCCTATAATAACTCACTGCCTCGCACACCGGGCGATGTAAGCCGTTTATCCCTCGCCGATATAGAAATCATGCTAAAGCGACTAGAACAGATGTCCCTGCTTCAGTTCCCTCTCGAGGTCCTTCATATGATGGTGGGATATCTTGACCAGCCGGCACTTAACGCTTTCTGTCGCGCGTGTCGTGCCACTCAGAACTGTTTTCAACCAGTCCTTTTCAAGTACAATGTGGATCATAAAGGAGCATCGGGGCTGTTTTGGGAAGCTGTCCACAACTGGCCGGACATTGTCACGAGCTTCTTGGACGACTATGGCGCCGATATCAATGCTGCGGATGCGAATGGAGATACTGCCCTGCACCATGATGTTTGACAGAGCCATACTTCCGTGGTGAGGTGTCTACTGCGAGACGGAAGAGTCATTGTCAACAGCAGGAATGCTTGGCACGGGACCGCCCTTCACATCGCTGCGCGAACCTTGTGTCATCTGTGAGTTGCTTGTCCTGGTTTCAGCAGAGATACAGTAACGATTCTCCGGTACAGCAAAGCCGGGCCTCCCTTTGGGGCCGAAGAATACATACAGTAGATGCGATCGTCGACGTCATCGAGAGAAACCCTCTATAATCTCCCTGCTACTAGAAAGCGGCATCGATATCAACGCTGCGGATTCCACCGGAAGTACCGCTCTTCACATCCTCTGTTCATTAGCATTCCCAGAGGCAGTCCAACTCTGTTAATTACTCTGCCCGCACATCTTTGTCAAGAGCCTCTGAGACCGGGTGCCTATCAGTAGCCAAACTCCTGGTTCAGAACCCAGAAGTCTGCCTCAACGCTCAGCGTCATGGGGCATGTAGCCCCCTATGGCTGGCATGCCGAGCGGGGAGTGTGCATATCGTGGCGTTCCTACTGCAGCAAGATGGCATTGATGTCAATCAAAAGTGGGAACTGGGACCTCACCGCTTCATTTGTCAATCACAGCCGGACATATCAGAGTCGTTAAGCTCCTCTTGGCGCAGGAGAATCGCGTTAACGTTAACATCAGGGCTCTTGATCAGGACCTAACCCCGCTCATGCTGGCTGCATCTGGGGGACCATGAGGATATCGTACGATGTTTGCTGCAGCACCCGTCCATCGATGTAAATGCAGTTGATGCATCCGGCCGAACTGCACTTATCTGGGCGGCAACCGAGGGTCTTTACAACACCGTGCGCCTTTCACTTGCCGATCCTGCTTTGACAACCCGGAGGTACAATCAAGGTCATACAGCTAACGCCATGGCAAAGAAAAGGGGCCATGCGAGCGTGATGTTCTTGTTTAGGGCGCCCTGACCAGAAGGGGGGAGCTAAGGAGATTCTCTCATTGTAATGTATAAGAAAGGACCAATTCTTGTGTCGATGTAACTGTCCTGTCAGCTATTGGAACGAGTCAAGTGTAGGCCTATAGTCCTTGGCTCGTCTACGTGCCAAATATCGCATATTTAGACGCACAAATATATGGTGTCACATTCAGAAGAGTTTGTTACCCGTATGATTAGACGGCTCCGCTGGATGTCTGATACGATGCTATATTTCATATGTTGCTGCCTTCAGCGCGCAGGAACGAGTTGGCCTTTCAACACCAGATAGCAAACAGCAATGCTG